TACTCGACGCTCGTCTCACCGCCAGCTCTTGCCCCTAGCAGCACGAACAAGCTCTGTCCCTTCCCCGCCATCCCCGCCTCCCCTCCAGCTCTACCTCGACCCTCCCCATCACTCGGCATCGCGTCGCTCGAGCACGGACCTGAGCCGTCGGCCCGCCTCAGAAGCACGGGTGTCGGGGATGTTGGGAGGCAGGGCGGCGCCTCGGAGCCGTCGGATGCGTCGGATGTTGTACGAGTTGTCACTAGCAAGACTGCTCAGAGCCTCCATCGCGCTATCCTCCAACCACCCGCTGCCCTCATGCCTTTGCATCGCCCTCACTACCGCCTCGATCGCTCCCGCCTCTCGCGCCCGCGCCTGGCTGTCAGCCATGCCCTCTGTCATGCTGCGCAAGGCCCTGCATCCGTCACGCTGTATCCATTGGTCGCCTGCGTGCGTGGACATGGCGCTGACGACGGCCTCGATCGCTCCCGCCTCCCGCGCCCGCGCCTGGCTCTCTTTGATGCGACTGACGGTATGTCTCAGGGCCCTGCACGCAGCCTGCTGTACGCTACCGTCGTCCGCGTGCCTGGACATCGCCCTCACTACCGCCTCGATCGCTCCCGCCTCGCGCGCCCGCGCCTGACTGTCTGCCATGCCCTCCGTCATGCTCTCAAGTGCTTCACAGGAAGATCCTTGTACCCCAGCGTCTTCCGCGTGTCTGGTCATGGCGCTGACGACGGCCTCGATCGCTCCCGCCTGCATGGCCGGGAGCTTGTTCTGCTCGTGGCTCTCGGCTATCGCTGTCATCACCTCGCATAGACCTTGCTGTATCTTCGCGTTGCTCTGGTGCCTGGTCATGGCGCTGACGACGGCCTCGATCGCTTTCGCATCTCTCGCTGTGCCCTGGTATCGGAAGTACTGCATTGTGTACTTCAGGGCCCAGCACGCAGCCTGCTGCACTTTCGAGTCGTCCGCGTGCTTATCGAGGCATCTCATGACGGCCTCGATCGCTCCCGCCTCCCCCGCCCGCGCCTGGCTCTCCTCCCTGAAGCTGATAGTGTAGTCCAGGGCCTC